CGATATACCAGGTATTGCTTCCTCGACTTGAGTCACAAATTGGCTGTAAAATCATATATGTTATGTTATATATTTAATATTGAAATATATATATATATATATATATATATATATATATATAAGTGTGTATGTTTATATATTTACCTTTCAAAATAAGAAATCAATGGATGCTCGCAATTAAGAAAAATATAAAGGTGTGCACTATGGACGTCTTCATCACTCGACCACCAAACCTCTTTCAATTTACCACCCAATCGCCCAATTTGACAATAAATGTCTGGAACATCATCTTCCATATATGTCGGCACGACACCACCATCATCATATCTTCTTGGAGCTCGTTTCCTTGTACGTACTTTCGGTGCAAAGTAGTATGATGTGAAATGTGATGTTTCTTCCGTCAGACTTCCCGCAACAGTAGAACCTTCAACTCTTGCTAGGTTTTTGGTTTTTCCTTTCAAAGTTTCATGGCCCTTTCATACTTATACATCCATCCATAATGCACAAGTCCACGAAGTAATGCCTCATACTGGAGGTGGACAACTAGGTGTTCCATGACGTCAAAAAAGTAAGCGGCAATATTTTCTCCAAGTTGCAGATTAAGACGGGGATGTTTTCATGAAGTTTTTGGACAACTTCCACTTTAAGAGTGCGGGTGCTCAGATCCCTAAAAAATGCTCCAATTCCTTATACATTACAAAAACAAAAATTATCCACATTAATATATATATAGAAATAAATTAATCATATCATCGTATTATATTAATTAATTACTGAAAGTGATTCATGTACTTTTGCCGGTAGTAGCTCCGCAAACACAAAGGGAAGTCGTCGCTGCATAAAGACATGACAATCATGGCTCTTCATCCCGGAGAACTTTTGCCCTTTCTCAACACATCTTGAGAGATTTGAAACATACCCATCAGGGAACTTCACTTCTGAAGCCACCCAGTTGAACAACGCATAATTTTTTTCTGATGACAGACTGAATATTGAAACTGGAACTTGTCCATTGGTTTTTATATGTAGCTTACTCCTTGAGCAGATATCGGGTAAGTCCAACCTTGATTTTACGTTGTCTTTCGTCTTCCCTGGGACATTCAATATAATGTTCACAATGTTCTGAAAAAAGTTCTTCTCTATATGCATCACATCGAGGTTGTGGCGCAAAAGAAGATCTTTCCAATATGGCAATTCCCAAAATATATTCTTTTTGTGCCAATTGTGCTGAATACCATAAGAATCAGGCATATTACTGGGAACATGCCAATTCCCACCACGAGGAGCTGTTTCCAGAGCACAGTGGTAATCGATTTGCGCTTCGATTTGTTCTCCAGTTAAATATGGAGGAGGAGTGTCTCTAACAACCTTTTTGTGCCTGAACAATTTCTTGTTTCTTCGGTATGGGTGGTAAACGGGAAGAAATCAACGGTGACAATCGAACCAACTAGTCTTCCTACCATGCTTCAACGAAAACGCATCTGTCATTCCATTACAATATGGACAAGCTAATCTCCCATGTGTAGTCCACCCAGACAACATCCCATATGCAGGAAAGTCACTTATGGTCCACAAAAGCATCGCTCGCATCGTAAAGTTTGTTTTCGTTGAACAATCATATGTTTTCACCCCTGTTGACCACAAATCTTTCAACTATTTTATCAGTGGTTGTAAAAAAACGTCGAGAGAACTTTTTGGATGTTTTGGACCAGGTATTAATATGATCATGAATAGAAACTCTCGTCGCATGCACATCTCTGGTGGCAGTTTATACGGTGTAAGAAAGACCGGTCACAATGAATATTGTCTCCCAGACATTCCAAATGGACTAAATCCATCAGTTCATAATCCAAGATACACATTCCGGCTATTGCTAGCGAAATGTGGATGTACATTGTTAAAATGTTTCCAGGCTCTTGCATCTGATGGAAGAGTCATCTCTCCATCCGTCTGAGTATGCTCGGCGTGCCATCTCATCCCTCCAGCAGTCTCCTCAGATTGGTACAATCTTTTCAATTTGTCTGTGATTGGTAGGTACCACATCCTTTGGTACGGTACCCTATTACGCCCTCGACCTTGAGGTTTGAATCGTGGCTTCTTACAAAATCGACATTCTTCTAACTTTTCATCATCTCCCCAGTAAATCATGCAAACGTCTATCATCTCCGAGGGCAACCCGAGACTATATACCAATTTCTGAATCTGATAATAAGATTCAGCTGACACATTGTCTTCTGGCAAATACTCTTTAAACAAGTCTACCCATGCATCCATACAATTTTCAGGTAGATTGTGATCGGTTTTAATACTCATCATTCTAGTAGCCAACGACAATTTAGACAGACCTTCTCTACAACCACTGCAAATTGGCTCATTCGCAGCTTCTAACATTTCATAAAAAAATTTTGCATCTAAGTTAGGTTCTTCAACTTCATCATCATCATGGGTTACAAATGCATCACCTACCATATCATGAACCCTATCACAATCTACCATTTGTTCATCTTGGTGATATAGTTATTTTCATTACGCAAATGATCAACCGGTTCAACCTGAAAATTGTTATTACTACTGCTACCTTCATTCCTACAACTAGCATCGTCTTCTCCATGTTGATACCAAATATAATAATATGGCATGAAACATCTATTTATTAAATGCTTCCAAACATTTTCACGAGGGCCTAATTTTGTATTGCAACATTTCCGACAAGGACAGAACATCTTACCACTTTCCTACGTGAGTGGTGTAGAATCTGCTTGATGCATAAACATCTCTAACCCTTCGAGAAATTCTTTCGTCACCCTCCCATTATTATCTCTGTGTGAATACATCCACTTCCGCAACTCGAAAATATTTCTCGGACCGGACATTTTCTTTATGTTTGATCAAGCTTATAGCTGATTTTTTGTTGGTGTGTTTCAAATGAATCACAAATTGTGGTATTTATAGAAATTTTTGAATCTGAGCATTTACTAGGAAATTGCTAGGAAATGTAGACACAAAACACGTTTTTGATTTAAATTCGATATTTTCTATCCAGTTCCTCCTAATTTCGTAGTAACAAATCCATTCCTCCTAATTTCGTAGTAAGGCTTTACTATGACTTTACGAGGAAAGTTTGTTACTACGAGCTTACGAGGAAATGGACTTTTGCCACGTAGTTTCCTCGTAAACTTACTACGGTGTTACGAGGAAAACTGTTTCTCGTAGCTGTACGAGGACCTTACGAGAAAACAAGTTTTCCTCGTAAAACCGTAGTAAGTTCGTAGTAACTTTACGAGGAATTATTTTTCTAGTAAACTTTCCTAGTAAACTTTCCTAATAACTTCTTAGTTTTCTTATAGTGAAAAGAGTAGACATTTACGACTACAATTTGATCTCCATGATAAGCGCCATAAACCTTAATAAGTTTCCTCCCTAGTCTCATTGGCATTAGATTCAGTTGTCTCTCCTCACACAAGGAAGATAGCATCATTGTCGTAGGAATATTAGCATCATATGCCAATGAGACTACGACATATGATGTCATATGCCAATGAGGCTACGACCTCATCCTTCGGCGGCAAAGTTTCTAGGAATGTTAGCATCATATGCCAATGAGGCTATACGACATATGATGCTATACTCCTTGTGTGAGGAGAGACAACCAGAAATGACCTAGTTGTTTAAAGACTCATAAACACATGATAAATATTAGCTTAACACATGTTTATTCGTCATGTGTTTATGAGTCTTTTGGTAGTCTGAATAGTCTTCTTGTTTAGTAGACTCTATGCAAGTTCTAGCTTATTACATGCAATTCAGTTGGCTGTTTCTCAGATTAACTTGAGAACCGTTTCTCTATGCTCATAAGGCGGAATCATTCTACACCAACATGGCAGTAAAGTGTAAACTCATTTGGAGCCTAACAATTTTTATTTCATTTCTGTAGCTGTTTATAACCCTCTCGGGCACAATAGCGATCGGGACCAAACTAAGAGCATCTTCAAAAAGACACTCTATTTTAGAGTTTGCAAAACTCTATTTTTGAAGTTTTAATGTGTTCTTCTCCAAAAGCAAAACTTCAAAACTATTTTAAAACTATTTGTATTTTGCTCTATGGCCCTTATATTTGTCATAATTAATATATTCATAAATTTTTTATAAATAATTAACACATATATGAAAAAACATACAATAATATTAATTAAAAAATATTTACTTTAAAATATAAAAACTGTAAATAGAAATACATATCTAAATAATAAACTTCAAACAAAATATCACATTATCTCATAAAATTATTTCCATAGTGCTCCATCTTCAGTTACATAATACTTATTTGGATAATATTTTGGAGATTCTGAAGGTTTCAGAGAAATTTTTTCATACTATTAATATTGTTGTAATGTTTAAATTATGTAATAACTATGCTTTTCATGTACCTTTTTTTAAAAAAAATTAAGTTTTTTTTGTAATTTTCGTGAAGTCTAACTTTAGTTTTAAAATAATATAAACTTGATTTTAAATTTTTCTGTATAAAAATTAAATTTATAAAAACAAATCTGAAATATTTATAAAAAAAAAAAAAAATTGAGGATTAAAATGTTAAACAAGAAAATATTGAAAATATAAAAACAAATCTGAAATATTTATAAAATATAAAAAAAAATTGAGGATTAAAATGTTAAACAAGAAAATATTGAAAAATCATAAATATAATACATAATTATTTGTAAGGACCAAAATGCAAATAAAAAGATGAAACTTCATATTTGAAGTTTGGAAAATTGAAACTTCAAAATATGAAGTTTCACTCATCAAAACTTCAAATTTGAAGTTTCTTTTTGAAGAATCAAAAACTCTATATTTGATGTTATAGAGTGTATTTTGAAGATTCTCTAAGCCAGTTCATCTGCATCGAGAGATTCATAGTTACATCTGAATTGTCTTCTATTAGCTTAATTTATACTCGCCTTTATCCTGCTGAAATACGATGGACAGAACCAGTGTTCATACTGGCGATTGAGAGATTTCATAACACTCAGCTGAATCAAGTTTATTTTGATCAAATCTGGAAACAGTTCTGAATAAACAGCTCTTTAGTGATAAAAGAGCCAAAAACAAAATATTATCTTATAATGTAATAAAACAGTCCTTAAAGACATAAACGACACAATCGATTTGTGGAAAATTGTTCAAATAACTTAAAGACAGTCCTTATCAAAGATTCAATCCACCTGCAGGCTGCAGCCACCAACATTAGCTTAACGCTTCTTAGACACACCAACAGTCTTTCCTCTGCGGCCAGTTGTCTTGGTGTGTTGTCCACGAACACGTAGACCCCAGTAGTGTCTCAGCCCACGGTGGTTCCTAAACGCAAAGCCAACGTTTCATACAAACAGAGAGAACACACTGTAAAATTAAGTTATCCGATTGGGATCAGTGCTATGAGATCTACCTGATTTTCTTGAGACGTTCAAGGTCATCCCTGAGCTTCATGTCAAGGGCATTGGAGACAACTTGAGAGTACTTTCCATCCTTGTAGTCTTTCTGTCTGTTCAAGAACCAGTCTGGGATCTTGTACTGTTTTGGGTTGGCAACAATAGTCATGAGGTTATCAATCTCAGCTGCAGATAACTCACCAGCCCTGAAATCAGAGATCATAACAGGATGTGCACAAGACCATTAGAATACAGTACACAAGTTTTCGCTTAACATAACAAAACCCTGACTATTCTACAGTTGTCAGGTTACACTGACAATCAGACAGGGCCGCAAAGTCAGAAGAAACATAAGAAGAGTAAATGCTTCATTAGACATCAAAGTGGAAACGTAATTCATATAATTGATTAGTCAAGCAGAAATGACCTATAACTTGCAGAGAAAAATTAGACACACCGACCAATCTGGTCGATGCAAAGGATGTACACAAGAAAGACCATTAGAATACACTAAACAAGTTTTCGCTGAACATAAAAATCCCTGGCTGTTCTACAGTTCTCATGTTACAGAAGAACCATAAGAAAAGCAAATCTTTAGGCTAACAATTTATCCAAAGACAGTTAAAACAACAATGCGTAAACATAATTCATTTCATTGATATGTCAAAGCAGAAATGACATAATTCAATAAAGAAAATGATTCAAAACACATACACTAATCTGTTCGATGCAAAGAAGTACTAGTTTATATTCTAACTAACTTTCTGAAGGTTCGATATTTTGTAAGAAAACAAGACAAGAGAGATGAAACAAACCTCTTGTTCATGTCGACATCAGCTTTCTTGCAGACAATGTTGGCCAGACGCCTGCCAATACCCTTGATGGAGGTAAGGGCAAACATGATCTTTTGCTTACCATCGACGTTAGTGTTGAGCACACGCAGAATGTGCTGGAACTCCTCGTTCGCAACCAGAGACTACACAGTACCAATCAAAACATCAAAACCAGCCTCGACAGTTGACTAGTTGACATAGAAACATTCGACGGCAAAACTAATACTATTCGAGATCGATGGGAACTAACTGAGAAAGGGGAAAGGGAAAAGGAAAACGTAAAACTCTAGTTACCATTGTTCGATCTGAAGAGATGAGCCGCTGGACTGAGTACGGAAGCTGTCGCCGTTTTACAGTAGGGTTTCTTCTGTAGATGGTCGTTTATATATAATTTATATGTTACTCCTTTGATAAGCTGGACGCTCTTTTCCACATACCAATTGTAACTCAGGCCCAAGTTATTATCCTCATATAGGCCCAACCTCTATGAACCGTGTATTAGTATAAGGGCATGAATGGTTTCTTGCTACCTCCCGCAAACTCATCGTTTGCGGTTATTAGTGGTTGTTTGCATTTTACAACAATCATAGTAACGCTATAAATCGCTTCCAACTGATCCAAAACTCTAACATTCAAGTTGGAACTAACTAGCGTTTGAGGTTGCAGTTGCGAGAAATAAAAAATAATTATTTTTCTTCAAAACTACCTAAATATAAAAATAAAATTATTCATTTAAAGTTTTAAACTGAAATAATAGAAATACCAAAACATATCTACTGTATTTTTATTTATATTATAAAACTTTAAAACAAAATATTTTCTATAATTTGAAAAAAAATTAATAGTATAATTATATAATTATATAAATATATAATTTTATATTTATTATAATAGTGTGATTTTAATAATTTTATAGTTATATAAAATAGAAATATTCTTATTTATTATTTAACCACTGTTTCTTTTTGATAGTTAACCTCCTAAACCGTGCACGGAATTTTAATACTCCTTCTGATTCATGATATTTGATGTTTTACCTTAATGCACAAAAATTAAGAAAGTTATTCTTTTTTAAAAAGCACTTTTAAAATATAATTTTAAAATTATTCAATGAGTTATAAAAAATGATAAAATTAAATTGGTTAAACAATTTCCAATAAATTTAAAGATAAGCTTAAAAGCTCAAAAAATCTTATATTTTAAAAGAAACTAAAACATTCAAAACCATCATATAATAAGAAACGGAGGAAGTACTAAAAATAAGAATAAACAGTGTATTAATCTATACTATTAAAAGTGAAGGCACCCTTAAAAAATCGACTGATGGAAGTTGTGTGCACCCTCATTAATGGCATTTTGGTAATTTGTTTTTGGTCTTATATATATATATATATATATATATATATATATCAATTGTTACAAATCATATCACATATTAAATATACCTGATTTATTCTCTCTATTCCCATTAGTTACTCTAACCATATTCCATATTATATTTCATACATTTATATTATCTTATAAACTTTATATTACGGTTTTAATCTATAGATTGACTATATAAATATTTATTATAACATAAATTAATTATATGGCGTTCAGATGCTCTCATACTTATAAATGTTTACATATTTATGAAATAAATTGTAATTTTAAATCATAATATATAATTCAAAATACTGTATAATAAAATCAACAAAAAATAATATTGTTTTTATCAAATATTATATTAGTATAGATTTATCAAATAATAGTATAATTTAGATATTATATTAAATCTAATTTTTTATTCTTTTAATATATATTTTAATATTTTGCATTAATAAATTGAAGTATGTTGTAAACTCTATGAATATATGTTGTCATGAATATGTAATTCTTTTAATTTATAGTTTATAAAATAATTTTAATTAAGTTCTTATATATATATATTATTTATTGTAGTAATTTTATTATGAATAATGTATTTATAAATATTATAGTAATGGTATTTCTTATTTAATAAATCCAAATGAATTAAAATTAATTGTAGTAATATTTAAAAGTACATTCTATTATTTAAAATAAATATTAAAAGAATAAATATTTATATTTTACCGAAAAGATATTAAAAGATATTGTCAAAATGCAATATTAGAAAAGATCTTGGTAATATCTTTGATATATGATTTTTAAAATATTTCAATAATATATTAAGATTGTTATTGAATAATTACTAAATTTGTTATATGCAAGATAATTTCAAATATTTTCGTAATAACTTTTCTTCATATGTCGATATATCATCATTCTCATGATGACATTTAATGGATGAGATACGTTTTGTTAAGAAAATATTGCAAAAACTATTTTCTATAATTGTCTTCGTACTAAAACAAATGAATTGCTTCATCTATAAGTTTATAAATTAACCACAATCAATATCGTGGTTAGTTATTCTTTGTTTGGTTTCCATAAATTTCGGTAACTTACTGTAGTTGTGTGTACCATTAACTGTTAAACTTTAAACTTCTTAACTAATTCAAAATATTTTCAAGAAATAATTTTTATTCCTCGAAAGAGATATTTTTTAAAATCGTCTAAATATTCTTTCCTACATTTGCGTAACCTAAATGTATATCGTCCCTACATATTATAAATATAGCTTCTTTTAACCACTATATTCATCATTCATTGAAAAACTTAAAACAAAAATGGCGAATAATTTGCAGTTGTCGTGATATAAAACCGAGGAAGACTGCATGTCGCATCCAAGTCAAAATCTTTCATACATGGAGACATTTCATGAAAGACATAGGGGACACCATGGAACTAATCCTTTGTGATGCAAATGTAAGTTTATCGTTTTGTATAGATTTATGATTTAGATATTTTCATTTTGTAATAGTGTAACCTAAATGATAATGAGCGCGGGTCAAAACCTAAATAATAATATTCTTCCCTATATTTATGGAACAATTGTTCTATTCTTAAAACTATATTATTTTGAATCATAAATGTTAATAATTTTCTTATTGGTCAGTTTTCTCCCATTTTTATAACTTATCTCCATTGTTGTGTACATTGTTGTGTATCTATCTAACACGAGTATATTTTTATCTAGATGTTATTGGACAAGTTCAAGACTTAGGTGATCTGGAAACCATAGGGTGTACTGGTGGGAAACAAAAGAATAAGTTGAAGTTCAGTCTCGTGGAAACCATAAATTTTTTTTTTATGGTTAATAGTATAAAGTTAGTCTCCCTACCTATTATAAATTTCTCAAGCGCGGGTCAAAAAAAAATTGCTGAAACATAAATAAACTATATAATTCGATTAACATATTTATTGGATTTAACTACAAATTTTTGTAATAGAATTTTGGGTATTTTTAATAGTATTGATTTTTCAAGTTTATTATAGGTCATGGATCCATCCAATTTTGGTTTCAATCTAATATGTGTTTTAATTCTTCAAACTCTCACAACACTTAATTTTCTGATTCTCTGTTCAACCACAAACTGACTCGGTTATGCAAACTAAATGAAAAGACCCTACTAAAACGTTAAATATACATCAAATTTCGCATATAAAACTATCATATAATAGAAATCGGATCATTTTATACATTTTGTTACAACCAAAACAAAACCTGCGCTTCTCAAGCGCGGGTCAAAATCTAGTATGCTAATTAAACCCAAATTACTTGACTTTTTGGTATGTACACCCAGACAAATTTTTTTTTTTTTTTTAATTTCTAACTTACAACATTTTTATTTATTTTGGTTAATACATGTTTGTATATATGCAACTTTGTTCATATTGATTTATTATTTGTTCTATAAAAACTGGATCATTTATATATTGTATTTGTTTATAGTATCAAATGAACATGGTTATATAAATTACAACAATATATATGTTTAGAAAACTTGTTGTGTACTGTTTCAAAATTTATATCTTATAAAATCAATATGTTTCACCATTTATTTTAGGGATTTCTGTAAAAAAACCTTCAATGTTGTTTTTACAAATTAATCCATGAAATAAAAAACTCACAAGTTAATCCTCCTAAAATCAGTTAAATTGCAATATAAACTATCTGTATATTGATGATGTTCAGTCGTTTATTGTTTAATATTAACCCGGCTGAATTTGAACCTCGCACCACGACCTACCAAAACAAGCTAGCAAACCAACTTATATATAAGGACACATATTACGCACTACACTAAAAGTTGAATCTGCAGGACTTCGAACCGTGCACCAATACCAAACATAACCACAAGCAAACCATTACAGCAGTAAGCAACATTCGTTCATTAAATACACAATAACATATATATTATGTATGTAGATTAAAACTGCACCTTTTAAAGTCAATTTTAAACGAAAATGAGTAGCCTTTCAGTTGCTGCATATCGTGAATTAGGGTTCTTAGAGTGGGGAATCGTGGCTTTCAACTCAACCTTAAATTTTCAATTGATCTGAGATTCATGATATTTTAAGGCGATTTTGTCAGGTTTGTGCTCTAGTTTAAGAGAATTGAGCAAGGAAGGCACCATGGCGTTGAAGTTAGTAACCAAAAATCTTTTTTGATAGTTTTTTTTAATTGATTAGTAGATTCCTTGATTTTCTCATAGGTAAATGATTTCCTTACAGTTTTGACTTCTATTTAAGCTGTGGTGGATATTGGAGTAGCAAAGACGAATATCATGGAGGCGAAGTTCATGAAAGCGATAGACGATCAGGTGATGGTTTTACCTTGCAGTCGATTTTCATACTTGTGAAATACATAAACTATGAAGACAACATGAACCAAATATCATGGTTTCCACCTGAAACTTCTGAGAAGAAAGAAGACATAACCGACGATGTGATAATGAGCAAAGTAATTCACTACTGGATCAATAATGTTTTTTATCATCATAGAAGATGACCATTATATGAGTAGGCATCGTAATATGATAGGCTCGTTGAATGATGTTGAGGATGCATATGATATTGGGAATGACAATGCTAATGAGAATGATATGGTAAATGACTCTTCTGATAGTGATTTTGAGACTGATGAGAGAGGTGGTGTGATATAGCAGGATTATCCTTTTGGTGTTAGTGATAGTGAAGGTGGTGATTTGATAGTTGATGATAATCCAACAATATTCATGCAAGACCCGATCCCGGCCTCTCAGGCCGCGGTCAAAGCCTCACGTCGTTCAGTCCTCTTCCGGACCGAACCTCAAAAACTTTCGCCCTTTATTTATAATATCGCCCATAGGCGAGGGCCAACTTAGATCTTAGCTTAAGACTACCATAGTATTTCCTAGCTTAGATCATTTCTATTCATACGCAGCGGATTATACTATATT